GAAAGACACCCTGGTCTAGCGGCATGTGTTAAGGCCTGTGCTACCTTGCCCTTTCCTCCAGACTTTACCCAGCAGTTCTAACCTCACATGTACCCCAATCTGGAGGCAGCAGAACACAGTAAATCAAGGAAATGAACAGCCATGACAGCCCAGGCCTGCTCTGGACTAAGGAATTTCTATGCCCGCTGGAGCAGCAGTCCCAATCTCAAAGGCAAGATTCCTCAACCCACCATTAAACTCATGAGTACCCAGTCCTCCCTGGTGGCGCAGTGGGTTAAAGCACAGCACTAAGAAGCTAAAGCCACTTCCGCATGAGTTCGATCCCCACCTGCAGGTGACCCACATGGCACGGAGGACCTCTTCTGACCCGCCCGCTGCTCCCCTCAGCGGTGTACTTCGTCGATCTGCCTGTTCTGCTCCCCACTCTGCCTCTGGTGGATCCTTTCACTGCCCCTGCACCCTCTGCTTATACCCCAGTTCTGTAGGCATAAATAAATCTTAAAAAAAAACCTAGTAAGTACCTAGTGCAAAGTCCTTTTGTCTGGGGACAATAACAAGATCACACTGTGGGCCCCTCCCCACAGGTTAAATCATGCAGGCCCATGGAAACCTGACTCCCTAGCAGGCAGAGGCACCAAGTGCCGCTGAGCAGCAAGCTGTGATACAGGTGGGAGGGAGACTATATAACTGCTATAACTGGCTTCGTGTTTCTAGAGCATCTCTGTCTACTCACACATTCAAAGTCAGCCCTCCCTGGTGGCACAACGGGTTAAAATGCAGCACTATGAAGCTACTACCTGCAGCCACTGCAGCTGGAGTTCAATCCCCAGCCAGGGAGCTGACCCACATGGTGCAGCAGACCTCTCCTGTCTGGCCTGCTGCTCCCCTCAGCAGTGTATTTCAGTAGATCTGCCTGTTCTGCTCCCCACTCTGTCTCCTCCCACACCCCACACCTCTGGCCTGTACCTAGTTCTTGTGTACATAAATAAATAAATCTTTAATAAAAAAATAAAAAGATAACCAGTAATTCAGATATACTGAACTCCCCCCCAGGCTCTGGGGCCACCTTAGAGCTTTTTTTTTTCCCCCTTAGGAGGCTTATGTTATCAACTGTATCAATGAAAAGATGGGAAAAGCCAGCGCCGGTCTGGCAGCATCCCTGACCCTGAAAAGGCTGGTTGTTAACTGCCTGCTGGGAACTGAGGGTGTGCTCCTCCCAGCACCTGTTCAACCAGCTGATCAATGTACCCCTGCCCAAGGCAGACACTCTTTGCCCTAGGCCGAGGGCTGTTCATGTTTATTTCAGGAAAGTGTGCATTGAGTCTGGGCCTGAGTTCCATCGTGACGCCTGATTTCCCACAGTCAAAGGAGTTCAAGTAACTTCCCCAAGATCACAAAGACAACAGCCAGCAGCACCTGGATGTGAACCCAGGGTTGGGGCTTTCGCACTCAATCCCAGCAGTACCAAGGTGCTCCCAGACAGCATTTGGGGCAAGCCTAATCCACATTTCCCAGTCCTCTGAGGGCTGAGTTCCAATCTGGGATGCCACGATTTCCCCTTCAGTCCCCGTCTGATGCCTGATGCCTGGACAGGGCTGGTGTTTGCTGGGTTCCCCTGCAATAGGAACATGGCCTGAGATTCTGGAGGGCTCTGGTGTATGTGAGTGCAGAGGGCACCTCTGGGCTGAATGTTTGTGTCCCCCACTACCATTCAAATATTGAAACTGATCCTCAGAATGATGGTAACTGGAGGTGGGGGCTTACAAGGCCAGCCCCAGAGCCTGCTTCCTCTCCCACTTTCACAAACCAGGAAGCGGTTCCCCGCCAACCACTAATCTGTGAGCCCCTTGATCTTGGACTTCCCAGCCTCCAGAACTGTGAGAAATGTTTGTTGTTTGAGCCACACAGTCTATGCTCTATGCTGTTTTGGTTACAGCAGCAGCCTGAACTGCCTGGTGTGTGTGTTCTTTGCACATCAGAGACTACCCCTCCCCCCAATCTTCCAAATATAGAAGTTTCCAAAATACAGCCATGCCACAGGAACTCCAATGTGCACAGAACCCAAAAGGCCACTTGAGTCTAATTATTTCTCTTTTTTTTCCTAGAGAGGCACAACAGCCATAATATTTTTTTAATAGAAGTTCACTTCCCACATCAGAAGGCCTTACATTTATCTCCCTAGATGGCAATAACAAAATGAATCTGTCCTCCAATAAACTTAGTCAATGATTAATCAATCAATATCAGATAAAGTTATATGATAAAAAAAATTGTAATGATATCTTACACTTCTGCAGTCATGTTTACAGGAGATGTTAATGGATACCAATGACACAAAAGAACTGTGAATGAGTAAGTTAGGCCAAAATGGGGGAGTCCTGCCACCACGTGCCTGTGGGTTCATGGTGGGGACCACACAGACTAAGGCTAAGATGGGTGACATTTTTTGATACACCCACATTCATTCCTAGCCAGGCAGCAATTCATCTATAGCATCTCTAGGCATAAAACCACTGTGCTCGCAAATTCCACATGCTTGGGAAGTTGGTGGAAACCTTAGAGATCATACTAAAATCTCAACATGTCCTTGAAGTCTCTTATCTTCTCCCTCCACTTCCAACCACTCAGTAAGTCTTGCCGGCCAACTCCAAAATACTTTCTGAACCTGTTCACTTTCACCAAGGCCACTGCTGCTCCCAAATTCTGGAAATGGCTTCCTGTTTATCTTATCAGTTCTTGTGACTGCCTACATATGTTCTCCGTGGGAAACAGCATCATAGCCTTGTCTACTGAGGGCTCCAGGAGTTTCTTCTGTATGCTGGGGCTTAACAAAGTACCATAAATTAACTGGCTTGTGGGCTGGGTAGCCCACTATTATGGGTTGAATTATATTCCCTCAAATAATCTGTTGAAGTCTGAACTCCTAGTACCTGTGAATATGATCCTATCTGGAAATAGAGTCTTCTGTTATAACAGAAATTGATTCTCTCATAACACTGGAGGCCAGGAAGTCTGAAATCAAGGAGTCTGGGAGGCCATACTCCCTGCGAAGGTGCTAGCGTGAATTCTTCCTTGCCTTATGGAACTGGATGGAAATCCTTGCCATTCCTAGGCCCACAGCATTACTCCAGTTTCTTTCTCTGAACTTACTGACATTCTGTGCATGTCTCTGTCTTCACAGGCATTTTCGACTTGCAAGGATGCTATTCCATTTAAATCAGGGCCCACACTAATGATCTTATTGTAACCTGATTATCACTGTAAAAACTCTATTTCCAAATAGGATCATATTCACAGGTACTAGGAGTTCAGACTTCAACAGATCGTTTGAGGGAATATAATTCAACCCATAATAGTGATGCTACTCAGCCCCCAAGGTCTGGCCTTGGTCTCGCATCTCAGGATCCCGCCCTCACACACACTGGGTTCGCGCGACATCAGCTTCCTTTCAGCGAGCTGTTACTCCACATGTGCACCGAGCTCAGCACTCCTGCACCAGCTGCAGGTCTGCCTGGCTAGTACCATCATTCTGCTTAAATGGCACTACCTCTCTGACCCTGATCCTCCCGCCCCTGGTTTAGGGTGTTTCTGGGGGATCACATCAGCCCACCTCAATTCTTTGCAGGGCACTTGTTACTCATTATTGCCAGCTGCACTTTTTCCTTGCCTACTGTCTGTCTTCCTTCACTAGAAGTCAGCTGCTTATGAAAAGGGATCTTGTCTGTCCTGCTGATACCTATGGCCAGGCCCTACTCGGCCTGGCATCGGACTCTCAGTAAAAACATGTTGAATAAAAGAATGAGTAATTACTGTACAGATGAGGAAACGTGGAGGCAGTAAAGTCCTCACATATGTGTTTCTATTAAACACATGTGCTGGGTCTAGATGGATGTCACTCTTTTTCTGTAAAGGGCACAGAATAAATAGATCTGCTCTGCTGGCCAGATGAAGACTGTCACACCCTCTCTGCTCTGCAAGGTAAGCATCCAAAGCTGCCAGGGATAATAAGACAACGAGCGAAAGTAGCTGTATTCCTTACTTCTGGCCATGGAAATACAAATTTCACTCCTTACAAATAGTCTGCTTTCAACCTTTCGAAAATGTAGGAAATATCATAGTGTACAAGCCATGCTAACACAGCCTGCAGGCTGGAAACGGCCCATCAGCTGGGGCAATAGTCTGCCCGGGGATATCGGAGGCTAAGCCTGGCTGGGGTAGGAAGGCACAGCACCCTGCACCACAGTGCTAGAGCGCTCTACTGGCAAGGACTGCGGTGTGATCTCCTGTGTTAACACAAAGGGAGAACTGAGGCCCAGAGATACTAAGCTATTTTCTTTTTCTTTGTTTTAAAGATTTATTTATTGATGCATACAGAACTGGGGTACAGGTCAGAGGGGCAGGGGCGGTAAGAGGCTTCACCAGAGACAGAGTGGGGAGCAGAACAGGCAGATGGATTGAGTCTTACTGCTGAGGGGAGCAGCTGGCGGGTCAGGAGAGGTCTGCCGCGCCATGTGGGTCAGCTCCCCAGCTGAGGGTTAAACTCGCACGAAAGGTGCTGCAGTTGGTTTGCAGTGCTGCGTCCTGAACTGCTGCACCACCCAGGGCCCCGATTCTAAACTATTTTCAAGGTGGAAACATAGCCTTAGAACTGAAACTCAGGGAGCCCAGTCTGATGATGTTACACCCCCATTCTGGTACAGAGTAAAACGCTATCATCAGCAAGGTGACTAACAACAAACTGAAAGTAATAGCTACCTAATTCAGAGCGCCATTTACAGCACTGTGCAGAGATGAACTGCTCTCTGTTCTTCACAGCTCTGTGAAGCGAGATTTGTTTCCATCCCCGTGCTAACAGGCAAGGAAACGGCGGTGCTAGAGGTCACTCAGCTGACCGGAGCAGGGACCTGGAATGAACTCCAGGTCATTGACATCCAGCCCCCGCCCCACCCCCGCTGCTCCCAGTTCCCCAGCCAGCCCCAGCGCCCTCCCACTCCACTTACTGGCCACCTGCAGCCACACTCGGAACCAGCGAGTGTCGTTCAGGACCTCCTGGCAGGTATAGTTGCCCTCGTCCCGCAGGCTCAGTGCCTGGATGTGCAGGGAGCTGGCATTGACCAGGGAGTAGCGCGGCTCGGCGGGCGGGACGCTGGAGTTGGAGGACAGGAGGAAGGCCAGCTCCGACCCATTCCGGAACCAGGTCACCAGGCCCCGCGGGCCCGAGATGCCGCCACAGAGCAGAGTAACGTCCTCATGAACTTCTCCGACGACAACAGCCTCCAATCCTGTAGGAGGGAAAGTCAGACTATTACCACCTTCCCTGATCTCTGAACACCCCACCCTTGTTTTTTTCCCAGTCCCTTTGATGTAGGCTTTTTTTTTTTTTTTAAATCGGGTGTGTGCTTTAAGGGGAACACACAGAGCTCCAAAGCTGCTGGGATTCTTGGCTAGTACTACACATTAATGAACTTGCTGTAGACACAACGAACCACAACACCTGGAGGCCCACTGCTGCCTTCAACTGTCCAGCCCTCCTGGCACCCCCCAACGCCCTCCCACTGCGACGCTGGCCTCAGCTGTGTGACTGGCTTGGGCTAGTGGGATTCTGGCAAATGTGACGCCCAGAGGCTTAAAGTACCTTGCTCATCCTCACCTTCTGCCAACACCTGGAGCTGACTTGCCCAGCTCAGGTACCAGGGGGAGGAAGAGGACATGATGCTGACCCTAGATGTCCCAGCCCTCAGCTCTGAGGCCATTTTTTAAAAAGATTTATTTATTTATTTATGCATACAGAACGGGGGTACAGGCCAGAAGTGATGGGGTGAGGCGGTGGGGGTGAGAGGACTCACCAGAGACAGAGTGCGAAGCAGAATAGACAGATCAACCTAAATCCACTGCTGAGGGGAGCAGGCGGGACAGCAGAGGTCTGCTGCACCATGTGGGGCAGCTCCCTGGCCGGGGATGGAACTCATGCTGCAGTGGCTGTGGAAGGCTTCATAGCACTGTGCTTTAACCCCTGCCACCAAGGAGGCCAGTGAGGCCATTCTCGATCAGCCTTCGGCCAGTCAGTCCACTCCAAGTGGGAGTCCAGGCTAGAGCAGCAGAGTCTCCAGACCTTTAAGCAATGAGCATTAACTGTCATTTGTGATTGCTTGTTGCCCATTATTATTATGGGGATAAAGAACTGATACCGAGCCCAAGTGGTTTTATTTTCCTAGAAATCCAGAAGGGGTGGAAAGACTGACTGGTTCTGATTTTCCTGCTGTTCTTTCTGGTTTATTCTCCACTGCAGGTGCATCTGATCCTGGAGTTAACACTCTGCACAGGTCATGTAAGAATAGGCTCAGGAGCGACCATGTACCCACTTTGGTCAGCCCTGTACCCAACACTGGGGAGACAGAGATGGACAAAATGGAGACCTTGGGGAGTTCAGTCTAGCGGAGAAAACAAATTAGCAATTATGGTGCAGAATGAGAAATACCATAATAGGACCTTCAAGAAGGGGCTTGTGGCCTCCCCCCACCCCCCGCCCCGGGAGTGAATGTCTGCCCACTGAAGGAAGCCAACTGAGATCTTACAGACAAGTAGGAATTAGCCAGGTAAAAGTGAAAAAGAGTTGTAGAGGGCATAGCGGTTCACAAAGCCAGATCAAAAGGAGCAGCCGCTGCTGGAATGCAAATGAGCAGGTCCCACTTTAAGCATCACAGTTAGAAACTGGGTGTTTTTAGCCTCCATCCAGGTGATTCTGATGCTCAGTCAAGAGCAACTGCCCTAGCATAAAACTGCCTCCTGGTAACAAGAAGCAACTGCAGCCCGTTTTGCTAAGAAGTATCATGATTTCCCAGCCTCCTCCACCATCAACAGCCAAATACAAAGAGGCCACAGTCACAGAGGAATAGATAGAACCTGGTAGGAGTCTTTTGCTTATCCTGGCACATTCAGGAGATGAGAAAGTGGTGCAAAGAAGGCAAACACAGTTAAGAAGAGAGATAGGGTGGGACTAGAGTAGTGATTTGCTAATCTCCAGTCAATGCTTCCATCAAAGTTTTCAAAGTATGTGAATATATTAGGGGTTTATGAAAGATATTTTGTTACAAATAAACTGCCTTCAACAATAGCGCTAGACAGCTGGATAAGCTATATGCCAAAGAATGGAGTTGGCCTCCCTACCTCACACCACACATAGGAATTAACTCAACTGGAGCATACATAGATCTAAATGTTAAGAGCTAAAACTAAAAAAAAAAAATTGTTAGGAAAAAATACCACAGAAGAAATTTTTGTGGCCTTGAGTTAAACAGTGATTTCTCAGCTATGATTCCAAAAGCACAAGTGAAAACGGAAAATAGACAAACTGGACTTTGTTAAAATTATAAACTTTTGTGCTTCAAAGGATATCATCAAGGGCCTTCCCTGGTGGTGCAAGGGGTTAAGACACAGCGTTATGAAACTGTCCACAGCCACTGCAGCACGAGTTGGATCCCCAGCCAAGGAGCTGGCCCACATGGCACAGCAGACCTCTCCTGACTCGCCCGCTGCTCCCCTCAGCAGTACATTTTAGTGGCTCTGCCTGTTCTGCTACCCACTCTGTCTCTGATGAAAACCTTCACACACACACTCCTGCCCACATCTCTGGCATGTACCCCAGCTCTTGTATGCACAAACAAATAAATCTTTAAAAAAAAAAAAAAAGGATATTATCAAGAAAGCAAAAAGGCAACCCAAAGAGGGGGAGAAAATATTTACAAATTTTAGATGTGATGTGGATTGTATCCAGGCTATAAAGAACTCTTGCAACTCAAAGGCGCAAAGGATTTGAATGAAAAGATATACCGAAAAATATACAAATGGCCAATAAGCATAGAAAAAGATGCTCATCATTAGTCACTAGAGAAATACAGGTCAAAGCTACAAAAGCTATCAACCACTTCACACCTAACAGGAGGGCTAAAATCAGAGACAGAAACCAGTGTAGACAAAGATGTGGAGAAACTGGAACCCTTATAAGTTGTTGATAGGGATTTTACATGGCACAGCTACTGTGGGAAAGCCATTTGGCTTTTCCTCACAAAGTTAAAGTCCATCTGACTCAGAATTCCAGCCCCAGGTATATGCCCAAGAGAAATAATGTCTACACAAAAACTTGTATCACAACAGCCTTATGATACCCCCAAAGTGGAAACAACCCAAATGCCCATCAATTAATGAATGGATAAACACAATGTGGTAACATAACAATGGGAAAATTATTTAAGAAAAGGAAACTACATGCTGAATCTTTAAAACATTATGTTACGTGAAAGAAAGCAGTCGGGAAAGATCACATATTGTGTGCGACTCCCTATATATGAAATGTCCAAAGAGGCAAATCAAGGAATAGTAATAGCAGTTGTTTAGGGTTGGGGAAGTAACTTGTTTGTAGGGATATCTCACTATTAGTGATGATAATATAGAGCTTCTTTTGGGGGTGAGATGAAATGTTCTGGAATTAATTCATGGTGATGGTTGTGCAATCTTGTGAGTATAATAAAAAACACTGAATTATACACTTTTTAAAGGGGTGAGTTTTCAATTAGTAGTTACCAGAAGAGCAGAAAGGGGGTGGGTAAATCAGATAAAGGGGTCAAAATTGGGGGGTGAAAGAAGGATGAACCCATGTTGACTTTTAATGATGCACACCTTAAATGTATAAGAAGTTATAGTGCAATAACACTTCAATTAAAAATAAATTAATAAAATGAGGGTGAATTTTATGGTATCTAAATTATACCTCAGTAAAGTTGTTATAAAAAAAATAATCTGCCTGTAGAAATCCTTCCCAGAGTCCTAATTATCTGCCTTTTGTCTGGCTAGAGAATTCCATTTGAAAGATCTGAAGCCAGTTTAGAACTACAGGATGTTCTGACTCTCTTCCTAACTTGGCCACGCCATTCCCAAAACAAGGAAGGCAGATGATGTCATCTAATGCTAGAAATTCCAAAACAGCAAGAAAAAAAAGCAGGTAACAAATATTTTTAAACAACTCAGCCTGGGGACCTAATTTCTCAGTGGCAGTTCCTACTGGAGAAAGGAAGCTGAATTGTAAAATTACAGATGTAATGTATGTTCATGAAACCTGCAGACCTGCCCCTTCCTTGGCTTCTTGGCAAAGGAATAAAGGCATATGGGAAAGCCCTGGTGAAACTTTAGTCTTGAAACCTGAACTAACATTGTCTTCTTCAAGGACTTGAATGACATATCATAAAAGAAACCCTTTGAAGGTATTTACCTCTCCTCCTGGCTCGCTCACTCCATTCTTTTTAACTACTGAAGCTGAAGGTGCCTTAGAGATCCTTTAGTCCTCAGATGTGGCAATTCTGAGACTGGGTTAAAGATGAGGCCAGCTGAGCTTTGACTGGGTAGAGCGTACAGTCATTGATTATTGATGTCTGCCATGTACACAGAAAGGATAATATTCCAGGACACTACTTCCATGCCTGATTACCATATGCTCCCTCATTTTACAGTTGAGAAAATTGAGGCTTGGAAAATTTAGTAATGTACTTAAAATCCCGTGCAAGTCATGAGGGGCTAGGATTGCCAGCTCTCCAATACTCCAGGTCACAGGGATTTGCTCTGATTTTAAATGGCCAAAAAGGCATAGGAACAGTTTTGTTATGGAACATTATCCCCAAATGTGCAAAGAATTCTCCTGAGTGCCCCCCAAATTCAGAATATGGAAAAAAGGAGCAATATAAAAGATTGTTTTCACTTACAAAGTTTGGATTGTACCCAAACATTTATCTTTTTTCTTAGCAACTGTTCTTAAGAATGACTCCAGTGATTTAAAATTTTATGTGACAAGGGGAACCAGAGTTATGCAATGGAAGAAAAATAAATTTACACCCAAGACAGCTCCTAGCTTGACAAAAAATATATCAAGCTGGGGAACTCTTCACTCCCCCCAGCCCCCAACCCCAGCACCAAATACTAAGGTGAACCTGGTTTGGGCATCAAACTGGGATTGGCAGTAGGGGAAGCTCCATGGTCACTGAGCCCTAGTCATCCTGAAAGGCGACTTATTCCAGTATGATTTTAAACCAGGGTTCTGAGGTCTGGAGGCCCTTGATATTCACAATGCAGCACACAGGCAGACAGGGAGAAGGAAATAGACTACCCCCTTTAACTTCCAGAGATGGTAGAATGGAGACAGTCTTCTTCCCCTTCACCCCAACATAGTGATGAGTCAAATGCCTGGAGGACTCAACAGGTAATATCCATGATTGAAGAGAGCCAAGCTAGGTACTACATCAGGAAGAGGTAGACCAAATTTGAGGTCCAGAGCCCTACAAAAAAGGGCATGACTTCTGCTCAGTTCCAGGTGGGAAAATGGGCTCTCTGCTGCCATATCTTCAGAATTTTTTCCCAGAAAAACTGAAAATCTAGATTATGGGAAAGTTTACTGTTCTAAAAGAATTGCTACAAACAAAACAAATAAAAACTTGGGAGAGCCTAGCAATTAGGAAATTTTCCCACTTGCTGCTAGGATGCTCAGAGCAGTTCCTCCAGGAAGCTGCAAGAGATCAAGTGGGTCGGGTCGCCATGACAACACAGAAAGTAGTAGTCTGCAAGTATTTAGCAAATTACATCACCTCCCTGATTCCATCTCCTTTCCCTTCAGCAGTGTCTCTTCACTGCTTGTGAATCTGCCATATACACTATAGATCTGGGTCTGCTGGTGAATTAAATTAAACATTAGTTTGCCATTCTTTTTACATGATGTATAGAGTCATCAGTCCTCTATTATTTTTTGTCACAAGGAAGAGTACAGCTAAAGCATTTAAGAGTCTTTTATCAATCATGTCAAGTGTTCGGGGACTTTTTGGTAAATCATGAAATTATTTCAAAATAAAAACTTTCTTTTAAAAAGTAAAGGAGGGAGGCATGGCTTTGAACGTTCTGGTCTGCACAGGTCAGCATGCAGGCGTGTGCAGGGAAATCCACAGGTCACAGGTGTAAGGAGGGTTCCACCTTGAGCGGAGGGGGGAGGAGGAGGGCAAAATAAAGGAGCTTGGAGTCCGAGCACCCGTGCAGCAGGTAAAACCTGAACGCGAATTTACATCCGACACTTCAAAAACCAACACTTTCCCCCTCCACGTGCCTCTTCAATCTTCCACGGTCAAAATCCCCACTTTTCAGTTCCCCAATGTCCCCATCACCTCTCCGCAAACCCTGTACAGTCTCGCCGGCTGCTGGTTCCGAGAACCGGGATATCTTGTCCTCCATCCGGCGCCAGGGAAAATTCCTCCCTGCACGACTCGAACGGCGAGCTGGAAACTCCAGACCCTCCCCGGGGCGCCTTCCCGGCCGCGGCCACAGCAGGGTCGGACGGAATCTGGTCCCTGCCTCTCCCCTCCCGACCGTAGCTCAACTTTTCTCTTCAAATCGCAGACCCTTACCTGCGGCGACCCAGGGAACCAGCAGTGCCCCAAAGCACACCAGGACCCGGGGCTCCGGAGTCCGGCCGCCTGCGGCCATGTCGCCCCAGGAGCTGGCAGGGGCCCCTGGGGCAGCACCGACTCCGGCGGGTGGGTGTTTGCCCCCCCAGGGCCCGGGCCCCAGTAATGCCCAGCGCTCCTCCCAGGTCCCCGGAACCAACAGAGTAGCTCCACTTTCCGCAGCCCCCGGGAAGGATGCTTGGGGCTAAGCCCGACGTCCAGGGCTGGAAGCCGCTCAGGGCTCCCGGCACGATCCGATCCTCCCTCCGAGCGCCTGAGCCGCGGGTGGGAGGGCGCACCCCGCCCCCTGAGCCCGCCACCCACTCCGGTTCGCGGAAAACAACAGGAGCCGCGCTCCCTCCCGCCTCCCATCCAGCCGGGAGCCCAACTTCCTCCACCTCGGCTGGGGAGGAGGGCTCTATGCAAAGAGCGCGCCGAGCCGACTCCGGCCGGGCCGGGGGAGGAGCGCGGAACC